GACAAATATTTGTATCTAACTAGTTGTATGAAGCCTTTAAGTCTCATTTTACCTTTCATTTCCAAGAGTAATTTTAAAATATCACATAAACTAGGTAACCAGAACTCTCAAGGGAAAACTCCACAGAATCCCTATGGGCATATACTGCATTAAAATACATTGTGAATTCTACTTCACAATCTAAAAAAAATTTAGATTTTATTACCATCTCCAAATGTATGTTTAGAAACCACAGCAAAACTGTCAAGACTGCAGTGATGTTTAAAGAGATCCCACAAACAGACTTCTCTTGGGACATCAAAGTCCAGAGGGGACATCCACCAGGACCAATTTATCATGTCACATTAGTAACACATTCTGCCAGGGAGAGAAGTCTGGTTCCTTGTGGGATTCATTTAACTACACACCCAGGCACTGGAAGCAGTTTGAAATGCCCCAAACCATCCTGTCAAGCTTGTAGACACTGCTGCTGGAGGATATTGGTCTGCTGCAGGTCCTGAGTTGTATTTCCTAGCCCATACACAAATTACTCAGGCATCATTGATGCATCTGAAGATGGTTTAGGGTATGTATGCAGCTTCTAGTCTAGAAAAAAAAAAAAAATTAACTCCTAAAGGAGTTTCTCTTGGGTAATGTTCTGATGCTGTTATACCAACTCCATCTTCCACAGTAACTCCTCACTGATAGCACCTTCCAACACAAAACTCACTCTCAAAGTGAGAACCTGAAAAGCCTCTAAACCAAAACCAAATCAATTCTTTAACAGCCCAGAAACACAACCCAGCCTACACCAAGCCCATCAATTTCTGTTTCTCAGCCTGAAGCAGCAGTCACTCATCAATACACTTCCATTACCAGTGGTAACACTGGGATCCTTCCCTCCTGTGAACTGTTAAATTACAGAAAAAAGATCCTTGAAAATTTACAAGTAAAACACAAATAAAACACAACAAGGAACACAAACCAAATCAAGGCAAGCATCACATATAAATGGAGTAGGATATAGCTGAAATATAGAAGTTTAAGAATACTGACATGAAAAACCAACTTCTACATTAAGAGTAAACAGAGAGGCAGAGGTGTATGGCACAGACTGAACAGCAGATCACTGCTATACCAAGGCAGTACTTTGCAATGCAAAGTGTAGTGCTGCACAGGAAGCACCAACTTTTCTTCCTGTCACAAGGATCAGCATCCATCCATATGTCAGAGGCTAAAAACTATCCCTAGGACAGCTCACCAGGAATACACACTCTGCTGCAACCATGTGCCACAAAAAGCAAGCCCACAAATCTCAGAGTAAGAGCTCAGCATTTGTCATAGCACCAGATGAAGTTTTAAAAAGTACTTGCCTTCATGCACCCCTAGATTTACAATGAATTTGCCTGGGAAAAAAACAATGAAAATAATCTGTGACTGTCTCCAGTGCAACACACAGCACATAACATTAACTCTGCTCCATTTGGAAGTGTTCAAAGCTGTCTCCAGCACTATAAATTTTCATTTGAAAAGTCTGAAGGGAGACATAATTTAAAAATCTACATTCTCCTCTTTCCTACAGATGAATAAAGATGTCTCTGTTTATAAAGAAAACTTTCTGTAACTGCAAGAGCAGTGCAGTATAGTTCAGTAGAGTTTAACAGACTCAATTCATAGCACCATTTCAGAAATTTTTCACATCCATAAATTTACAGGAATTATGCATATGAATGCTGCTCTTTACATACTCAATGACAATCAGGATATAGAGAGTCCCACCTGCATTCTGTGGGCTTCACTACATGCCACTTCAAATTGCATAAAAAGTACAAATGTTTTAAAGTATTTATTCAATTTCATCTTTGATTCCAGCAGTACACATTTTTAGAAAACATGACCTCAGTACTTATTTAGTGGCTTAGAATATCAATTATAACCTGAGTAGCTCCTCAAGAAGTTACTAATTCCACAGAAAACTCATCAACAAGTTGATAACTCCTCATTTTAAGAAGATAAATTCTGTTATTATTCAGGACAGAACTGTTCCATTAGTGTTTCAACACAGCAGAATCTGTAAGGGCTGCAGTTCACCAATACAAATATTCCTGCTATACATGCAATTCTACTGCTTGCTTTTGGAATTTCAAAATGCACCACATTCAGATGAAAGCACACATATTTTTATGCTGTACTATCTTGAAATATTCATATACGTGCAAAGACCAATTCAAGTACTTTTTACAGAAATTTGTGAAAAAAAAAATGTTTGGAGTCACAATTACCCATGTTAGAGAATGTCTTAAACATCTTAAAGAAAAAAAAAAGGGCTCACTTTGAAACCTTCCAACTAGAAACATTTCAAGAGCTTATGCTCAAAATCCAAAGCTTAACTGAGGCTTTTAGGCTTCTGGTCACTGACACTGCAACTATCCACATAAAGCAGAGAGGCAGCTTAGCAACAATTAGTTTCCATTAACTGGAGTGCACACAACACTGCTGCCACTGCCAGAACCCTGGCAAGAGGCAGAGCCTGTGCTCAGTGCTCTTCTCTTCCTGCTGATAGTGATCAATACATGAAGTAGATAACCTGCTTCTGAATAAATAAATAAATAAATTGTGTGGTAAGCAGGGGAGAATGTCCCTCTAGGTCACTAATGCAGAGGAATGTTGCTAAGCCCACTGGTGCCCAAGGGAAGATGGGGCAACAGAACATGCAGTTACCTCAAACAGATGCTGGAAGGTAAAATACTTCTGACTAACAGGAATTAAAATCCCAGCCTCTACAGGAGGGGCTATTGCAGCTGCAGTAGCCCATGGAACACTGGCAGCAGTGGTCCCTCCACTGGATAAGCTGGAGAGCTCTGTGCACTGTGCTCTACAGCCTTCCTTCCAAGGAACCCAAAAGGCAGGGCCTCAGCTTTCTTCAAGCCTCTCATTTATTTAACAGCAGAACTAAACTTCATTAAGGTTAATCATGAACATTGACATTTTCAGAGACAGCAAGTGAAGAGTCTGTTGCTAGTGTTGATGAAATAAATACAATGAAAATCAAACAGAGCCTATGTCAGTCTCCCACTAACAGCATCTCACCTGTACAATTTACTATAAAGATACTTGATTGAGAACCAACTGTTTTGTTTAATAGATCTTCAATCAAAAAATAAACAAAAGAACTGAAGACTCTCTCCCAGCTCCTCCACAGTAGCTTCCTACTCAACATCTTGCTCAGATTTTTCCAGGTTTTCTACCACACAATCACAAAATAACTGAGTTTGACAAGGACCTCCAGAGCTCATCCAGTCCAACCCCCTGCTCAAACAGGATCAAGTGCAGGGGGATTTCCAGGGCTACTCCATGTGCCTCCTGGCTATCTCCAAACATGGAGATTCCACAACCTCTCTGGACAACCTGCTCCAACACTGTTGCCCTCCCAGTAAGTTGTGCTACCTTAAGTTCAGGCAGAGACTCCTGGGCTTCCATTTGTGGTCATTGCCTCTGACCTCTCCACTCCCTTCCCTTACCCTGAGCTTTCTCTATAGCGAACAATTCCAGCAATTCCCCAACTTGCTCTTCGTGTGAGAGAAGCTCCTGTAATAATCTGGGTGGCCTTTCACTGGACTCTATCCAGTAGCTCTGTTTCTCTTACTGTGGAGCCCAGAAGTGGACCCAATACTCCAGATGTGTCCTAACCAGTTGAGATCACTCATCTAAATTGAAATCCTTGTCTTGTACTTCCTAAAATTCTTATTCTGCTGCAGACAGTGAAAAAGTTGCATCTACCCAGTTCAGAGCCCATTCCATTCATCAGTATTTTGCTAGAAGCTTCCTCCAATCTTCCCTTTTCTACTTTCAGCTGATTTCAGACTGGATCCAACTGCCCAATTCAGCTGCCTGTCTTCCACCAGATCCTCCTCTAGCTGCCCATCTAATTCATCAACTACCATTCCACTGCATTCAACCTCAAGCCCTTCAACCCCCTTTCTAATCCTTCATTAGTCATCTAACAGCTGATGATCCTGAAATAGCAAACCAAAGAAAGATATAATTAAAATCTGAACTGAACTACCCCCTTAATGCTGCCAAAGAAAATAAATTACTTTTAAAAATATTAAAACATTTACAAACATTATTACAGAGCTAAATCAATATCTACATACTGAACAGGAAGAAAGCCTGGTTTTTCAAGTACACCTCTGGCAGTTTTCAGTATGGAACTTTCTCACAGTAAATACTGAACACAGAATCAGTTCTGCTTTATAGGTCAGCATTTTGCTGAGCTGAACATACACAGAGAGATTGCATAAGAATCCCAGCACCTCTGAAAAGACCTTCACTAGAGCAAGCAAGAAGACCTTCAGCATGAGGGCAAAAAGATTCCTCTGACAACTTTTATAACATATTGCTTCCTTTAATGAATGCTTCCTAAATGAAGAACACAAACCTCAAGAACCATTTTATCTCAGTCTCTAAAGGCTCTAAACCCCAAGCAAGCAGGTGACATGAATTTGGGAGAAGGTCTAGATTATGTATGCAACTGTTCCTATTCTGATAGAAGCAAATCAATCCTGCTAGGACACAAGTTCACACTGAGAGTTATGGTGTAACAGTTATAATTAAGCTGTCCCATTCAGAAGCTCTCAAAGTTTTAATTTATTTACAGATCAAAAGAGAGAAATCAACAGACTAAGTTAGCCTGCTTAAATTCTTGAGAGGAAATTCCAGTAAGCACTTTTTCTGTTGAATATTATTTCAACTTAGAGACATTGCAGACATCATTTCATGTTTGGCAAACCAGGCCTTCCAACAAAACATTAATTGGCAAGCCATACCTAGTTTTGTACAATAAAATTAACCAAGAAACAGGTATGAAACAAAAATTTCAAATACAATACAAAATACCAGTTGTCTGCCTCATTTTCAGAACCATTTCTATTAAAACTACATTAGCTCTGTTTGTTTTTTAAGAGTAAAGTTTAAGCCCCACTTTAGATACATGTTACTAAAACCAGGGGATCACTTACCAAAGAAGTCAAATGAAAAGGGGTCCCTTCCACCAAAAAACTCCCTGAAGACATCATCTGGGTTGCGGAATGTAAATCCAAAATCAAATGGGCTATCATGATGATTTCCACCTGCAAATAAAAAAAAAAAGGAAAAAAGTTAAATTTCAGTTATCTTCACATATTCTTACTAATAAGAAAGTTGAGGCCTATAGGGTACTTGAATCATCTAAAAATATAAACAGTTTCCAACATTTCTCTTTCAGATATCATTTAACTTAAGTTCACACATTACTTCATCACTTTCCATAACAGTTTCTCTGTTTTCAAATAACAGCAATACCTTTTATAATAACCAGAAAAACTCTAAAACAATTGCCATCTTGATTTTTAAAAGACTGAATTTTAGGCCCTAGTACAGGCATTTCCAGACTCCTGTCTTGAAAAGAAAGCTACAGAAAATGGAGAAAGAAAAAAACTGCTGATTGTCAACATACCTCCACCTCCATTTATTAGGCCTTCTTTTCCATATCTGTCATAGATGTCACGTTTTTTAGCTACAAAGAGAAGTTGTACATCATGTCAGTAAACAGGTTTGTTGGTTTTGTGAAAAAATAAAACCACTTAACCAGCATTCTCTGTTAAGCATCTTCTCAAAGCTAGTTTATTTAAGGAAGTTCTGATCTATAACTGCTGAGCATCTTCAACAAGAACTGCCAGAGCAATTTACTTCAGAAAGAAGAGCTACAGAACTTCAAATTTAAGACCAGTAAGCTGTAGAAGGTCTAGTCCTGATGTATGAGAAAAAGTTTGGTTTAAGGACAAACTTCATATAGAAATTTGCCTTTAAGAAGAATATGGCAGATTTCTTCTTTGGACAGCTACCATGGAAAGCTTTAAGGCTGTGAAGGATCTCTGGACCTCAACCTGCTCCTCCACACAAGTCCAACTGTGAAGTTGGTCACATCTTGCCTGAACAAAGCTGTGATCACATCAATTTCTAAGATAAGATCCTACAGGCTCTCTGGAGAGCAGTTCCAGTGCTCAAGCACTCCCTTCCTCCTCTCCCACTTACCAACCTTGACCATTGTCTCTTCTCCTTTTCTTGCACAAGACCAAGCCCATTGTGGGAGAGTTAAGAGAACAAAGACCAGTGTTCATAAGAGTGACTGCAAAACCCCTAAAATTATTCATAACCATTTTTGCAGGCTTAATTGTGGGATATGGCATGGAGAATGATGTTCCAAAATGCCAAGGAAGGATGTGACTCAAACTGCATGCTCTCTATTATTTTAGAAGGCATGGAATGACTATTAATTTCACTGTAAACCAGCCAGTACTCATGAGAAAGGAGAGAAAAATGAACTCCACATTATTGCACAAGATCAGATGGCACTTTGGTACTGGAAGGAAACCTGAAGACCTTAAAGAGGCAGACAGACAGCTCACTTTGCCTGCACTGTTGTGGGAGTACCAGTCAAAAACCAATCAGGGCATTTGATTTTATTCTCTTAATATTATTATGCTTTTCCCAGTGGAATCTCTTCAGTGAAAGATGTTTTTAAAATTTAAACAGCATCACTGAAAGAACATGCAGTTACCTCAAACAGATATTGGAAAGTAAAATACTTCTGACTAACAAGAATTAAAATTTTATATAATGGTTATCTCAAATAACAGGAGCTTGCAATAGGTTCACATGCAGACAAATCCCCAAAGCTTGATGCATTATCTGTACTGCCTTTCTAGACAGCAGTTTTTGAAGAAAGGCATTTAACCTACCCATCCAATTATGAAGAAGAAAGCAGCAAGGCAGATAAACTGTCATGGGCAGGAAACAGCAAGGGCGCCCTGAGGGCTCACAAAAACCAAAATTCATCTTGAAAAATGTTCCATTTTTGAAACCACAAGGTTTCCCACAAGGGAAGTGTGTTCAATGATCACCCAATTTCAGTATTTTTTTTGCTTATGTAATCCCTTACAAAACTATTCTTCTGCCAAAAATCTGTCATCATTCAAGCCTGTAATGGTGTCAGAAAATTTCATTAAGTTTGCAGAACATTTGACTGCCTCTCAACCACTGGGCTGAAGATTCTGCTATCCCTGCTGCACAAATGATTGTTAAGACATCAGTAACTTAGGATTTGGCATAGATCCAAAAACTGGCAGCACTTTTAGAAGCTGTTCTAAAATTCTAGCACTGTACTGTTTCCAAAGAACTTAGAGATCTGTTTAACAACCAGACCAGTATCCTATTTTTATCCTGCTCAAAAAAATTAGCTTAAGAAGGATAAAGCACTCTAAAAGACAAGCATACAATGAACTAATGATAAATTAAGTTCTTTTTCTCCCCTGTTAATTAACTATCAAAACCAAGCAAAGAAACACAGTGTACAAGACTGCAGCTCACTAAATCAGGCTGAACTCTGAGAGGTAATCTAGATGCTGCTAAAGCTTTAAATATAGCTTTCCCATGCTCACTGTCTCAGGTGAAATCAAGGACACTTCAGAAATAGCATATAGACAGCTGCAGTCAATTACAGAGGAAAATAATCAAAGTAGCTTAAATCACTTTGTTATGATTCAGGCTGCTTTTGTCAGAACACTGGCAAAAGTTAATGATACTCTTCAAGCAAAAAGACATGGGTGAACTGTAAACTGCATTCCTGCACTACATGGGTCAGGCTAAACACCTCTTTCAGAACGATTCAAAATAAACATTATCTTTAGTATCACAGTTGACTGAAATTACAGAACTCACTCAAATGAAATCCAAACTTTCAGCAAGGTTTACAGTATGCTTGGGTTTTCTCAAGACTAGTTGACTATTACAAAAACTAGAAGCTGTAGGCCCAACAGTGGATACTTCACACTTGGTCTGGCCTGATTTTAGAGGATAAACACAATACCCCTATACTGACAATAACACTGGCCTCACCTGCTAAGACAAAGTTAATCTTGGGATTCACAGAAGTGTACAGAAACTTCTAGCAGACACTGAATTTCAGTTTCTAGTAGTTTGGTTATGTATCTAGGGAGATCCTGAAATTTTTGTTTCAAAATTTCTGCTTATTCTGCCTTATCTGCAAGCATCTTTCTCTTTCCTTGCCTTTGAAAAGGAAGCGGTCAAGTTGGATGGTGAACCAAAATTACAATATCCCTTCAAAGCATCATAGACCAACATTTTCAGCCTGATCCCCAGGACACACAGGCAGTTCAAGAGCCCTTGTGAGATACCTACCATCTGACAAGACTTCGTAGGCCTCAGCTACTTGCTTAAACTGCCGTTCTGCCTCATCCTTATTGTCTGGGTTTTTATCAGGGTGCCATTTCAGCGCCAACTTACGGTACCTGAGTGGAAGGAAAACAAAGGATACTTTACTCTGAAATAACAGAATATGCTATACAAATAAACACAATGTTGTCAGGTTAAACAGGTTGTCAAGGATCAAAATAAGAAATTCCTGGTGCTCTTTGTATATTGCATCTAGATATTGGGAGAAACCTGCAGGTACACAAAGAACCACCTACTCAGATATGTTTTAAATTAGAAAGTAGGTTTGGGGTTCCTTACTTATTCTGAAATTACTCTTGTGCATTTCTGATGATTAACATCTATGAGACCTAAGAAAAACATTCCAACAAAATATCTCTGCTGTGGGCTTCTCCTTAGAGCTCTGTAATTACAACCAACCAAGAGAAACATCAAGAGGAATCCGGTACATTAGAAGTTGATAAAGCTCCAAGAACACACTGATTGTGACATCCTAACATCAATGCCTTCTTTGCCAGCTGCACACAATTCCTATCCTCAAATGAAACACTTCAGGCAAAGTGTTCATAACTTCTTTCTTAGAGAGGCAAAGCTAAGCTTGCACTTAGATTGATATGCTTTGCAATTATCCAAGATCACAGTTCCAATATTTGAGTTCATAAAGCACCATGTGCAGGAATTTGCAAAAGAAATGGGAAGACAACAAAGTGTGACTACAAAAGCCATGTAATTATATCTGTCCCTTAAAATCCAAAACATCCACACCAGTGACACTCACGCTTTTTTGATATCCTCTGCTGAGGCATGCTTCTGCACCCCCAGAACTTCATAATAATCCACCATATTTCAGGAGTTCTTGTGGTAACAACAGCTGAGTCTTTCCAGTCCTGCAACAACAACAACAACTTGTAAATGAAGCTTGTCCAGTACTGCTACTCCATGAAAGTGAGGTACTGCCTTGTATCAAACCTGACCCAAGAAAGACAAAGTTCAAATGTTCCAAACCCCAAAAAATAAACAGCTTTACTTTAGGTCAAGAGGTCAAACAATTACTTTAATTCAGATTTTTATGTTCCTTAATCCCACTGAAACACAGTACACAAACACATAGAGATACAGCAGTTCCTGAAACAGATTAGACTGATAAGCTGAGTATTTTAAGAAGGGTATCTGGATTACAGTTTTGATGTAGATATTAATAACTCTGAATGCAAAAGTTCACCTGTTATCTGTGACACCTGTCATGTCTAAAGCACATATGGGCATAAACAAAGGGACCCATCTTTCACATCTGTTCTTCAGAACATTACTTCCACTGACATGCTCCCTCCAGAAAAGCAATGTTTGTGCAGGGCTTGGAAATTTAAAACTCAATCTCTTATTGAGTCCAATAAACCTTTCTAGCACTCAGGCTTTGACAAAAAAGTGCACGTTGCCAAAACTACTGAATATCATTTGCCTCCTTTACATTTCCCAAGAGAAGCACATAACCAGGCAAGATTGCTCCAACTGTAAGGTAACCAACCAACTCAAGTGCAGAGGCACTGAGTGTTTGTTAGTATAAAAGAACAGTTATCACAAGAGTCCTGAGAAGCCCAGAAGTTAAAAAAGCAGTTTAAATATTGACAGTTTCTTGTCAACACTGGAGATAATTACAAGGAACAGTTACACTGACCATTACTCCAACTAAATGACCACTAACATGAAAGAACCTTCCTAAAAAGTTTCAAGAATGTTTCATGTCTTCATGCAATGCTGTCTTTTTCTCTCCACCATTAAAAAATCTCCATTCTGGCAAAACTTCCAAGCCCCTTTCCATCCTACCCCTGCTGGCTTGTTTCAATTTAAGGAACAATAAACAGTGACCCTTTTCCTGTAGTTATCAACTTGTTGCAGGGAAAATCACCCAAATACACTCAGAACATAACACAGCAATGTATTAGTCACATTTTCTTATCTTGTGCATCAAGAACAAAAATTCATTGAAATAACCTTTCCCCCCCTCAAGTCATTCAGTGTTTTTCGTTTTAGCCCAGGCAGTCTCAGTTTCCTTTTTCCCAAGAAAACCAAGTATGATGTAGCCTAGTGAAATATTCTAAAATTAATTTATTGTATTACTTTTACATGTATCTTTCAACATCCTGGGATACAAACACTGAAAAAATACTTCCTTTCAAAATAAATTGGTACATCTTCAAAATATGTTCCTGCTGTAGGTTAAAGCTTAATTACCTTTAATTATGGATTATGGTTACACACACATTTCCTCAAATGGCAGAACCAGTTTAAGAGATACCCTGCCGTGGTTCCTCCCCTCTCCAAACCACTTACAGAAGCAAATGTACTGGAGGACCCACGTGTTTAAAACTTGGTGGTTTTAGCAATCCCCTTAACCATACAGTCCCACAAACACAAAATTAAAGTGTAGCAAATAAATAGCCCTTTGAAGAAATCTCCACATCAAAAAAAACATAAGGGTATAGTTAATACTGTGACCAACACCAAAGGAAGTTGGGGGACGCGCACTAAAATTAAGAATGCCAATAATAATAATGGACTGATGGCAGTGTTCAATATGTAAACATACAGATTACTAAAAATATCCCAGGATATTTGCTATCAACTGGCCTCTCCAGCTTTGCTGCTTCCCACACAACAATTGGAACAGCTCTGTGAACACAGAGGCGAGGAGCAGAGTCAGTGTGGGTAAGTTTGTTATCAAATCCCACAGCCTTATGAGGAACAGCATATATGGAATGTACAGCCTGCAAAGAAATCAGGGGGAATCCAGCATGAGTCAAGCTTAAGGCTAAAGGTCAGAATTCCTCCTAACAAGCCTAAAACTAGCAAGCAACCAGCAAAAAGCCTCAGGACAGGAGCACATACAATAACACTAAGTGTCCTTTCCATATTCTCCTTTTCTTATACAAGACCTTCATTAGCTCTCCTCTCAATTCTGGTACCTATCTTAGAGGGAAAAGTTAAAAACTCAAGCTTCTAACTAGAAAAAGCATGTAGGAAAAGCAAGTTAGATGTAACAAATCATATCTTTCCCTAGAGAACTTTGTGCACACAGGTAATCATATTGTTTTCAACACAGTATTTTTTTAAAACTTTCCTGCTTGTTTAAAAGAAATGCTGCAGATCTGTGAAGTTCAGACTCAACAGAAACACCATATATCCCAGATAACAGAAACCTGAAGTTGGGACAAAAAAACAAAGCAGAAGCATGATCACCTCTTAACAGATGACTCTGACCCTAAAAAGCTACTCCTTCAAGATGGAGAAATTATTTGTTTCAAAGAAATGTCAGGGGATTGCATATTCTGTCTTTAGTGAGTGTTATTGCTCAGTTTTTACTTGTCACTAGCATAAAGTCTGGAATTAAAACAGCCAGAAACCTTCTAAAGAAAACAAATTCTTAATATTCTCCTTCTAATCAAAGTGTCACCAAAGTCAGGTGACAGGAAGCATTCATCTCTAATATCCTGTTATTTCTATCTGCTAGTTATCATAAAGCATAAACTGTACTGCTGAAACTTCAGTTATCATAGGAACTTTTTGAATGCAAAAAGGTTTTAAAAATATTTAGAAGAAAAAAACTCATCTGCAGCTTCTTTTGTCCAGCTAAAGAAAAAGAATGTCAGCTAGTATTTACCCCTCAACAGCCACCAAGACTGACCAAAAAAACACCATGCACACCCACAAAACCCCCCTCCCCCAAAACATCCAACAATATTCACAAACTAGAAAAGACCTCTATCTGCAATCTTTTCAGGACAGATTTAAAATACTCACTCAAGAAAACAGCCACCATCAGCTTATAATAAAGCAGAATATGGATCACCATTGACTTAGAAAATAGAAGATGGCCAATTTAAAAAAAATAAGTCAGTACTTCTAAGGCTAGTAGGAATGTGCATGGTGAAAATGCATAAATGTTTCATAGATGCAAACCATACACCTCCCTGCAAGAAACCACCCAACTGTCCTAATCACTATGACATGACAAAAATCTTCTCCAAACACGCAATCTGTCAAATAATTTGTCTCCAAATATACAAGCAAGGCTCATTAATTAGGCACTTGAGAGTTTTTTCTAAAGCAAGGAAGAAACCAGCCCACATTAGCTGATTTCCTGCCTCCATCCACAGAAAATCTTCAAAATTTCAGAAGAAAATACAAGCCAAAAAAAAAAAAAAATTAACCAGCTGAAAGAAGATGTTTCATGGCCTTTGTGTTTGCTCACAAAAATCCTGTAGTTCCCTGAGCTGGGAACTGCACTATGTTTACAGTGTGCTATCAGCTACTCCAACTCCTTCTGTGGGGCATGAAAATCAAACAGGCAAATGTTGATGTGAACCAAAGGTTTCCATGGTCTATAGATTTCTCAGGCATCACAGGGAAGGCAGCTTTGTTCTGGTTTACAGTGGCCCTGAACTACACGGACACAGGACCAGGCTCAGGCCCTCCCCACACAGCTCAGCCTGAGTTACCAGAACCTGGCCCATAAACTCTTTACAGCACAGTCCTCAGCTACATAAAAAGCATGAGAAGCATTACAGAAGACAGATATGTAGAGAGCTCCAAACTTTCATAAGATCAGATGCCAGAGAAAAGCAAGTAATCAGACAAACGAGCAGCAGGGATGACAAAGCAGCACCCCAAACTAAACAGGGAATGGGGGAAAGCATCCAAACAAGAAATTCCTTAGAGCAGCCAGGAGGGAATTCAGACAGCAAGGGGCATGCGACCTTTGCAGTCAGCTCAGTCATAAAAAGTTATCTATTTCTGGCCATGAAGCAATGGGCAGCACAGAGAGTCCTCAAAGATGCCAGAATAGCTCGAGCTCAGTGACTGCAGCAGTCACCTGGAGAGCAGGATGGAGTTCCAAACTCCTGATTCACAAACTTCACAGAGCAGGCACTCATCAACATCCTCTGCAGGCCCCACAGCCACCCAGGTGCCAGCACCTGCTGCTTTCCATGGAGTTCACCAAAGGATTGCATCCTGCTGTCAGCTCTGCAGGAACAAACACCCTGCTCTGAAGGGTGAACTCACAAAAATCCACTGTGCTAACACAAAGTTTACCAGAACATTTTTTAAGAGTAAGAATGCTAAGGAACAAATAAAGCTTCCTATGAGTACAAGAATGCAGAGTAAGAAAACCTGTGTAAGTTTTCTGATTAATAAACCTGACAAACACATTTAAACAAGGCACCAGCATTAATTTTTTCCTCCCACTTATACATACACAGTGCAGACTAAAGCATATTAACAACTTCAATGCTTTTACGTACCTAAGCTTAGAAAAACTGTCACAGTTTAACTTCACAGGCTCCTGAAATTTTTTGTTTCATGGAAAAATGTCAATTTACCATATAATTTAAATTAATACGATGTACTTAAATAGCCATGTTTATGCTCATTATTTTAATACTCCTTCAGTATCCTCAGGAGATGAATTTAATAAAATGCACATTCCAAAAAGCTTAGTTTAATCTCATGTTTACAGCAAACATCCTGCCTGTATGTCAGACAGCAGAGTGGATTTGGATACAGTTGTTGTTATTATTATACCAGTTCAGGCAGGAAGAAGGCAGCTGGGCTGGCTGCTTTACCTTGCAGCTCATGTTCCATTGTGGAAAAGCCAGCAACAATAAAACTCCCCCACAGCCAGACAAGAGGCACCTGACCAGGACACCCTCACCCCTCAAGGTGCTACACAGAGTCCTGTCCACTGCTCTCCTCCCCAAGGACAGCAAGACAATTCTGGCAGGAATTACAGGCCTGGTCTGCACTGCTGCCTGGCACATGGAAAGCCTGAAGAGGGCAACAAGTGAAAAACCATTAAAAAAGAGTGAACCAACCAAAAATGGAAACAGAAGAAATACCAAAATCTTCATCTGTGAAAGAAATGTAAGCTGGCTAACAAAAACCAGGAAAGGATGTTGATCAGTCAACAGGTCACCCTCTCTCCTGCTTATCCATCTCGTCTCTGATAAAGGGGGACTTATTCATGATCTTTCCTTAAAGCCAAGGAGCACTTTTCCAAAACAACTCAGGTGTCCAAATTTGGAATTGTGTCACAAATATCTGGAACACTGTCACTCTCCTAAAATTAACCATAAAAGGCTATTTTATACAAAGTAAAATAAAACCTTATTTTAAAAAATATATGATCTGCCTATGAGTAAGCAATTAAAAACAGTGAAAGCCTCAACTGAAAGACACGGCCCAGAAAGTTTTAGGCAAATAATCACATGCAAACAGATGATCCTTTAGGGAAAAGAAAATAGTTCAAAGTTTCTACACATTTCCCCTGAAGTGTTTTTGAGTCATGATAACTTTATTTAACCCAAAGAAAAAGAAAAAGGAAAAAAAAAGGCTTCATTAAAGCAAACAGCAACTTTTGATAGGCTGTCACAGATTCAGACTACATTTTAAGAGAGAAAAAAATTTCTAATCAGAAAAATTAAAGTTTTAATAAAAAATAGCTGCAATGTAGCTATGAATGGCTTCAGACTTACTATATGGCCTTTAAGGTCCTTGTTAAGTACTGAGTCCTCACTAATACCAGGGGGATTTCAGTATTCAGAGCAAAGAGAAAACATAAAACCTACAACTAGAAACTGTAGGAGTGAAATGCATATGCATGAATTATTTCTTCCCTAGCACTTAAATAAAGCAGAATGATTTCTTTAAGTCTAAAGTAAGGAAAATCTAACATCCATTCAAATGTATTTCATCCAAAAGAAAATAAAATTTAAACTACTAACACCCTCAAATATAATTTTATTTTAAATCTATCTTGAAAGAAACAATCATCATATGCAAGATCCAACAAGTTTTGACAAAGCTAGGTAATTTCTCACTAATCCTTCCATTGCTTGAATAAGACAAAGGAATAGCTTTGTCATGAAATGTTTCCAGGACACAACTGAGGTTCTTTTACAAATGCTATTAGAGAAATGGAGCACTTCCTACTTAAGGAGCACAATGCTTAAACATAAACCTCACACAGCTAAGTCGAAAATTACAGCAACGAGTTCCCTTCAAAGCCAGCCTGACTGCACGGCTCAGGAGCGGTGGATGCACTCTGGGAGCCTGGAGAGCCTCCTGTGCTGTGCTGTGCTCTGCTGCCCTGTGCTGGGCTGTGCTGTGCTGTCCTGTGCTGTGCTGTGCTGTCCTGTGCTGTCCTGTGCTGTCCTGTGCTGCCCTGTGCTCTGCTGCCCTGTGCTGTGCTGTCCTGTGCTGTGCTGTGCTGCCCTGTGCTGTGCTGGGCTGTGCTGTGCTGCCCTGTGCTGTGCTGCCCTGTGCTGCCCTGTGCTGCCCTGTGCTGTGCTGCCCTGTGCTGCCCTGTGCTGCCCTGTGCTGTCCTGTGCTGTGCTGCCCTGTGCTGCCCTGTGCTGCCCTGTGCTGTGCTGCCCTGTGCTGCCCTGTGCTGTGCTGGGCTCTCCTGCCCTGTGCTGGGCTGTGCTGTCCTGCGCTGTCCCGTGCTGTGCTCTGCTATCCTGTGCTGCCCTGTCCTGTGCTGTGCTGCCCTGTCCTTGTCCTGTGCTCTCCTGTCCTGTCCCGGCAGCGGCCCCGGCCCCGCGCTGACATCGCCGCCCGTTCCAGGCCAGGCCGCGGCACCCCCGGCCCGGGGACACGGCAGTCACCGCCCCCGGCCCCCGCAAGCTCCGCTCACAGAGCTCACTGCGCCACCGAGCTCGGCACAGGGGCAGAACAAACCTAAAACCTGGCATTTATATCTCGTGTACTGTTAGGAACTCCTGTATCCTACATAAGATAATTATGATTTAACGTAAGTTATTCCCTCTCCCCGCATACATTCCAATGGATAAAAGAACGAACACAGTCGGTAAAGAAATCTATCTATTTAAAAACATCAGTAGCAAAACTCATTAGCCCTCTAAAACTTCACAAAGTAAAGCCCTTCCCTCCTTCTTCCCAAGCCCAGCCAAGATAAATTAGCAAACTGCATTGATCTGGAAAGGACAGAGAAAATACCAGAGAGAGAAGCTGCCTGGGTAAGAATCAGCTCTAGTTTGAAAGCACGAGTACTTAAAAGACAAGCTCGATGGAACTCTGCAGTTTACAGATTTAGTTTACATTATTAGTAGCACTCCAGTCTAAACAGTGCTGCCAATAAAAGCAGCAAATTAAACTTCTACTCCTATAGACATTCTTAAAGAAAATTTAATACTAATTTAACTTCCATTTTCAACACACTCTTATTCTCCACTGAGAAGTCAGCACAGGCGCCGAGGGGAGTACACAAAGTGTTGTGCAATAGTTAAAATTCTGGTTGTTTGCAATAAAAAAGTAATCACAGCGACAAGATCTGTAAATACATTTACTCACTGGTCCAAACAAATACATTTACTCATTGGTCCAAACAAATCTTCTCTGACAACATAATCCATCAAACTAAATGGTATTTTCACTACTAGGCTCTTGATCACCAGCTGAACATAAAATCCCTAACTGGAGTACAAGGATCTCCAAAGAGTAAACAAAAATTAAGGTCAGCAGGCAGCAGTGAGTGCAACCTCTGCTGCAGGACCGGAGAGGCAGAGCCTTGCTTCATCCCAGCTGTTCCCTTTGTGTCAGCACCTTGTTCTTATCACTTTTTGACACTTTATACCCTAAAAACTCTTGACTTTGATCACTGACTATGCAATGACACAAGCCTAACCATTTGTACATTACAAACCCAGCTTTCATGTTACCGTGTCTAAATAAGTAGCAGTTTATAAATATTACAATTTAGAACTGATTTGTTCAGTATTTAGAATTATTTCTAACACCTTTGTTAGCACGGCTGAAGCACACGTTTTGAGCAGCCAAGGAGAGCTCAGGCAGCAACACAACACAAAGTGTTGGTGCAAACAAGAACGCGAGTTGTAAATCCAGCCCACAGCCCCCTCCGAAGCGCAACAAACACTGAGGACAAACAGCGTTCCTTACCTGGCAGTGTCAGCTTTCAACTCGGCTCGGAACCTGGCAACAGCGAACTCAAAACGCCCGACCTCTGCCGACCTCACCCACAACAAACCTCTCTGCTGCCCCTACCCCGAGCAGTAAACACTGAGCGAACGTATCGGAACTGCTTCCATCGGGGGAAACACAGCGCCTTTGGCTTAGGATCATCAGGGGTGGAAAATGCCGCTGAGATCATCCAGCCCAAACATCCCCAGCATCGACCGCCACTGTCCCTTAATCACCAACCCAGCCAGCGCCACATCCAGGCGCTCCCGAACACCTCCGGGGATGGTGACTCCGCCGCCGCCACAGGCAACCATTCCAATGCCTGACCACCCTAAACGAGAACTATCTAACACATTATCTAATCATATATCTAATACATTATCTAATCAAATATCTAATACATTTTCTGATCTGATCTCCCCCGTCTCATCTCAAGGCCGTTCCTCCGGTGCTCTCACTGCAGGCACGGCCCGCAGCTCACCCCCCTCTCCTTTCAGGGACTGTAGAGAAAGGAGAACGCCACACCGCTCGCAAGCCGCCAAGGCAGGACCCCGCGACAAAAAGCGCTTTAAGGACAAGGTCTGTTCAACGAAACGAGGCTCGGCCTCATCCCCTGGGAACTGACACCACTGTGAGCAAGGAATGGAAAGCCCGAATTTATTTTCTGCCTCGCGGTGAGCAGGCGGCAGCGCGGGCTGGCACCGAACGTCCCGGGGTTTGTCCCGCTCCGAGTGCCGGGGGAGCCCAGGGCAGCCGCTCCCTCCCCGAGCTCGCTGCGGTCCCCGAGTCCCGCCAAGGCCGGGCAGAGCCCGCACGGCAGCCGGAGCCGATCCAGCACTGCGGGGCCTGCGCCGGCCGCGCCGCGCCGCGAGGCCCCGCTACCAGGGACGCCGCTGCCGAGCACCGCGGCCCGGCCAAGCGCCCGCTCCCCGCTGCCCCTGCCTCCCGCACGGCCGCGGCCGGGCAGCCCCGGGCCCGTCCGCCCCGCACTCACCCGCCGGTGTCTGCTCGGCGCGGCCGCCGCTCCCGCCGCTTCCCTCCCGCCGCTCCCGCCGGGACAAACGGCAGCGGCCGCAAACAGGAAGCGCCGCCAGCGCGCGCCGTCACTTCCGCCCCGCCGCTTCCGGAAGCTTCTCGAACGGCCCCGCTGGGTGTCCCGTGCGAGCGGAGAGCGCCCCCTGCCGGCCGCCGGCGGGACTGCACCGGGGCGGGGCGGGGCCGCGGGAAGGGCGGGGCTTCCTGTGGGGAGGGGCTTCGGGAGGGGCGGGGCTTCGGGAGGGCAGGGCTCCGGGCGGGGCAGGGTCATTGCGCGTTTGTTTGTGCCCCGCGCGTTTTAAACAGCGATGGCTGCTCCCGGCTCCACGGAATCACAGCGTGTCTGGTGGACATGGTTGTGTTCGGTCATGGGCTGCAAGCAGCCATGGCTGCTCCCGGCTCCATAGAATCACAGCGTGTCTGCTGGGCATAGTGCTGCTGTTCAGTCACGGGCTGGACTCTCAGAGGTTTTTTCCGACAATGTGATTTTGTGAAGCAATGCTCAGGTGGGCAGCTGAGGGGAAAGGAGAAGGAAAAAGAATAATGTTAAGAAACATTCTTTGAATAGGGTGAGTTTGGCTGCTAGAAGTGAGATGACAAAATTTCTTCCCCTTCTGGGTCTTTACTCTCAAAAACTGGGGGTGCCAAAATGATGAACCAGGCTCTGCTCGGTGGCTCCCAGCAACAGGAGATGAAGCAATGGGCAGAAACTGAGGCACAGAAACTCCACTGAACCTGAGGAAGAACTTTTTTACTGTTTATTTCTTCTAGTTTAATTCTTTACTTCTTTACTGCCCTGGAACAGCCTGCCCAGAGAACCTGTGGAGTCTCTCTCCCTTGCTGGATATTCCAGAGCCATCTGAACACAGTTCTGTGCCATGCGCTCATTTTGTTTTTTCAGCTTTTCCTACAGCACCACAGCCAGGCTTTACTTTTTGCATTTCCCCTCACAGAATCCCAGAATGGGTCAGGCTGGAAGGATCAATGTGGTCCAACCACATTTGCTTGAGCAGGGAAGTTGGACCACATTGACCCTTCCAGCCTGACCCATTCTGGGATTCTGTGAGGGGAAATGCAAATAGGGATGCCTGGGTGTGTTGCTGTAGGAAAAGCTGAAAAAACAATAATTTTAAGAAACATTCTTTGAATAGGTGAGTTTGGGTGCTCAAGGTGAGATGACAAAATTTTTTCCCCCTTGTGTGTTTAAGCTGTTGTCTCAAAAGTTGTAACTCTGGCACACAATTCCTTTGAGGTCAGACTCCTCTCCAGGCATGTAGCACCTGGACAGAGCCCTGTGCTGGGTGAATGTATTGGAGCATCCTTTGTGTTATATTGAAATATGTGGTCTTCTGAGTGCCATGGCTGACAGACAGCAAAGTTATTATTGTGTTTTTAAAATGTGGACTTTCTCCATGCTTTAAATTGCTGTAAAATTATATTTCTTGCCCCTTACTTAAAAAGTGAAGGCATTAATTTATACATCAACAAAGTGAAGTTAGAGAGTTTCCACGCCTAAAATGTATGCTTCCCAAATAAAGTCAATTAAAAGTCTATTCATTATTTAGGAAGAGTTTGTGTGGGAGTGAAGTCAGTTCAAGAAGACAAAAGCCAGCTTGGAATAAGGCAGGAGAAGAAAACCTAAAACAAATCAGCAGGACAAGTAGTAGGACAAGCCTAAGTATAGGTTTGGTGCTTTGGGGAAATGCAAGCTTCAAAAGAAATATTGTTGATGCTAAGTTGTGGTTGTGGAACTGTTCTGACAGTGTAGCCCTGCTTTAGCATCCTTCAGATATAGGAATAATATTTGGGAAGGCTTAGAGACCAATTTTGCATTTGGAGAAGGAAAGGCATGAGGAGGTAAAGTGCCTGCTCATAGCTGAGGGCAGGGCAGTTTGGCATCTTCTACCAGAAAACACTGAGAATGTAAATAAATGTTTCCTAACAAAGTTATAGATGAAAACAAAAGACTGTATAATTATTTTTAATAAATCAAAAATATATTTTAATTGGTTTATGCTTTTCTTTGAAGAAGATATGAAGGCATTTCCCAAGACTTCTCAGAATGGGCATTTTACAGAGCTGCCAATTACAATTATAATTTATTAGGACACCTCTTTTTTTAAAAAAATTACAATCTTTGATAGCTCAGATTATCTCTAATACTGAACAATAATAAGAATTATTTACTTTTTTATAGTTTGCTCCAATTGTGGCCACGATATTTAGTTTTCTGGTCTCTGTTATAGGGAAAGGCAGGTGATTTCTATTAAAATAGCCCATGGCAAAGCCCAGCAGAAGAGGCACTGCAGGGGGTACTGAAGCACATCCATCCAGGACTGCCCTGGCTGAACTTCATTTGGTTGGTGATTGCCCAGCCCTTGGATTGGTCTGGGTCTCTGCAGGGCCTCTGTTCCCTCAAGGGAGTCAGCAACTCCTCCCAGTTCAGTGTCCTTGGCACACTTGGTGTCCCTTCCAGCCCTGCATCCAAGTCATTTGTGAGGCTGTTGTTCCACAGGGCTGGAAGCCCACTGGGGACAGGGCACCAGCCTGGTGTCACCCCCTCCACTGGAACCCTTTGTGCTGACCCTGAGCCCATTGCTCACCCAGCCCAGGCTGTGTTTATCCAGCTGTGTGCTGGACATTTTGTGCAGAAGGATCCTGGGAGAGACACTATTGCAAGTTTTGCTGAAATCCAAAAGGATTACATAACTGGCTCATTAACATTTTTAATTAGTTCTATTTATAGGACTAATAAAACTGAAAAGCTTTTAGATTCAGAAGACCTTCAAAGGAATTTGCAGAAGTATGAAGTCAAAGTGTCCTGTGTTTTTATGGCTCCCTGCTTGCAGCAGAAGCCTGGAGAACTGTGTTAAGGGACATTAAATCTGATGTTGCTGGCAGAGCATCAACATTCCAGAAACAAAAGTTCTGGTGGGTCTGTTAAAGCTGGTATCAGAGATGCAGGCTGATATCCAAGTGCTGAGTCATTGAGTCAGGATAAACACTGCTATCAAAGAATCTTAATTGTTTGAGATCTTTCAGCTCTCCTCTGGGAACATGAGGGAAAGGTCTGGTCACTTCACCCAACTTCAGCTGTCTCAGACATCCAGTTTGAGGGCATTGACTGTGAAGAGAGAGGAGAGGGCACCTCCAGGGCACAGTTCATGCCATCCTCTTTGGAGAGGGTGGAATTTTTGCTTTTGTGTTTCAGTACAGAAGGAGCCTCCTGCCAGAGCTCTGTCCTGGGGCTGCCTGTTCTCCCCAGGTGCCTCACAGCCACCCCACAGATGCCTGAAGCTCAGTGAGATGAATTCAGCCCTAACTGGTAGCTATAACCTAATGATGGAAATCATGTGGCAGCATTCCAGGAGGTACTGGCAATTCCCATAGTTCCCAGATTCCTTTTTTAAACCATCTTTTATGATTTGTGGAGGTCAATTATATAAAGCCCATCAGAACACAAGAAATGCTTGAAAATGCTGCATTAGAGAGACATTAATATTAATCCTCCTGAGGTGGAAATGGCTGTAGCCTTCCCAGCCTGCTGCTCTGCCCTGCTGCTTTAATGCATCTCATTTTTCTATTTACAGATTTACAGATTCTATTTTTGGTGTTAACAAAGAATATGAGCATATGTATCAAAGACTGTTCTCACGTCATCTAATTATAGCACTGCTGGCAAAGTAATTCTGGAAAGTGGCACTTAATTAAATATAAGCATTAACTTTTTGCTGATAGTTTATCAGAAAAAATTTGACTTGAAATATGGGCAATACACCTTGAGTTTGAAACTTTCACTAGAAGCATTAAAAGCACAAAATAACCCATTTTCCCTTGCATTCTCCAGTGTTTGCCTGTCAAGCACAACCTCAGTTTTCATTGGTACAGTGTGTCTTAGGTAATCTAGAGGCTGCAAGTTTATCTGAGCTCCTCTTTGTGTGCAGAAGCCTGAGCTAAGTGGATGCTTTTGAAAGTGGTTAAACCACTTCAGCATAGTTTATGTTTTTGCCAATTCCTCCTGAAATATCAGGTGTATTCTGCTGATTATCCGGGGTCTGCACACAACAACCCAGCAACTACTGGGGGCAGTCAGAGGATCTCACAGCTTATGCCAAGTGCTTATTCTTTGCAAGGACAGCTTGATCAGCATTTATGTTCATTAACTTGATCAGGGATATGCTTTTTTCTCCATTTGACAATGTGAAATATTAGTTAATTCTATGTAATTTTTCATCAATCGCCAAATAGATAATTATACCAGAAGTATCTCTGCAGAACTTGGAGCTCTGCTGCCTTTTGCCTGAAAAGTGAAGAGGGGAAAAAAGAAAAACAGAAATAATTCTTAAGTAAAGACACAATGGCTAAAAGAAACAATTCCTTCAGTAGGTTCGTTTGACAACATACAGCAAAACTACATAGCAACTGAGGAGAGATGCTTGTCCCAGGTCTAACATTTGGGCAAGCAGCAGTAGCAGGAGGATCTGAAATAACACCATCTGGTGAATGCCTGCTTCTCTCTTCAGCAATCAAGAACTATGTGTAACTATAAACAAGGAATAAAATAGAAATAATGCAAAACTACTTTTCAGTTAAATGTTACACAGAATGAACAAACAGCTGCTCTGGGAATGCAGAAAAGAATGATGTTAAATATAGTAGAAAATTTGAGCATGCTGCTCCTATAAATACATGAACCAACTCTGCAAACAGAATGTGATTCTGCAGAGCTGTGGACAGGGAGGCTTAGACCCAGACTGGAGAGCAATTCTGGCAATAAATGTGGCAATGATTTAACCATCCCACAGGAAGAGCTCATCCCCTGACAGTGTGAAATCAAGATGCAGGATATCTGTGCCAGCCTTTATGCCCCATTTTTTGCCAGTCAGAATTCCCATGTTTCTCCTGTTTGTCTGATGTGCTTTGCTGAATTCTGGGCTACTCAACCTTCAGAAGACAATCAAAATACAGGGGTTTGCACAAGAGGTTGCACTTGGGTGTTTGACACTGCTGGTGGCAGAAGCAAATACACATTTAGGTAA